ATTTTTTAATTGGAGTTCCACCTAATTAATATATATATGGGAGTATTGTTCGATGGGATACGTAATTGAAATGACAAGGTGACTGCTATTCTTTCCACTTTCTTTTTATAAGAATCTTAAACAACGATTCGATAAACGTCATGTTTGAAATATATTTGTGTGCTACATCAGAGATTAACATATTTGAGATTATCAAATCCATTTGGTGTAATATTTGATGCGGAAAATTTATCATGTTTTCGTTGTGCACGAACAAACCATGAGGGCGTCCAAAATTAATCGAAAAATATTTGGTAGAAATTCGGTCCAGATGTCTCGTTTTAGATTCTAAGCAGCATTGAGAGTAGGAAGTTTCATTACGATTGTGGTGTTTTAATATAAAAATGAAGTAGCAGATGGAGTGGACGATAATCGAATGCATTTTGATAATCATAATACTGTGATCAGACATCATAACCTACCATCCTCTGAAGTCTTAGTATTGTGTTCTTCGTTTCCAATACTAACTGTTTTCCACAGTAAGAAAACGATAAAAATTGTGTTTCGTACTTTGTTTATTTGTGTTTCAAAAGGCTCTCTCTCTTTGTGATTACTAATTTGCATCAGAAAAACGTTTTCTTAGCTAATTCTTACTTTTCACACAAATAATTATTCAGATTATTTTTAATTCGGAGAACAAAGAAAACTTTCTAATGAAAACTTGAGAGCCAAGCTAAAGTGCACTTAATCCGTTGAAATAATCTATTTGTAGTTTGTTTACCACTTTTTTATCCGGCTTGTTTATGTCACTAAGTTACACGAAGAACCTATTATCCTTTAATTTTGTTTTGTCTAACAATACATGTTCTGACCAGTAACAATAACTGGGATAAATCTTTCGCATGTTTATTCACTGTCAAGGTGGGCATACAACAATATGTTCGTTCATTGTCAAGGTGGACATACAACAATATGTTCATTTACTGTCAGGGTGTACATACAACAATATGTTTTTATTTTATTTTGTATTTATTTCTGTATATGCGTCATTTCAAACATGTGGAGCAGTGCTGCCATTTAGCAGATGTAATCTTATGAAGTTGACTTTAACTTCCTGGCAACTTTGGGATAGAATGAAAGATATTAAATGAACAACTTTTTAACTTGTTTATTATACGTTTCAAAGATCTAAATTTTCCTTTCGCAGTTCATTATTTTCAATGGTAAATGAAAATAAACTTATTTGTTTCAATCGCCACGAATTACCGTCTTTTATAATTTACAATCTGTCATGGTAATCATTTATATGTGTGTGTGTGTGGACAGCAGCAAGGTTAGTTCAAGTGTTAGTGAGTTGTCTACACAAATAATTTGATCGAAACGATATTTATGAGCCAAGAACGTAGCTCGGCCACTTTCTTTTACCTTGTAACAGAATGCGGATGTCTTTGTAAGCAATTAATTTAAATTATTCGTAGCAACGTAGATCCTACCCATAAAAACACCATAAAGCAATTTTTCATGCTCATGTGAACATAAATGTCAGCAGTGCTTAACTGCCTGATTGATTCTGCACCTGCTGTATCTTTGTGCTTACACAGTTAAAACAACAATAAAGAGCACAGACTTAAACAACTACGTGACCTAAATGTTAGCTAAGGGTGAACAATAATAAAAAGATTAAAGTTTCCACTAGAAAAGGTGGGTAATTTAAAGAGTCATCGAACTAAAATCTTTTTTATCTTTTCCCATGAAAAGTGAAATAGTTCACAGAAACATAAATTTGTGTGTAGGTTCTGAAGTTTTTAATTATGTGTTAGCAATATAACCGTCAATAAACGTACGGAGCTAAACTAGGTTTGAATGTACATTATTATTACAGTGAGTTATAATTGTATTTTATTTATCTTTGCTATTAATCAGAGAATATTGTATTGGTACTGGTATTTGCAAATTAATCTGAATAGCAATTTATGCGCACATGAGTTGATCGTCCAAGTCAGGGATTCTGGGGTTGAAGTATAGCCATCACTTATATTAAACTATTCATCAGAGAGGAGGGGCAGTCAGCAGCACAAGAGCTTTAGCGGCTTTGAACCAAGTAACAGGAACGACTGTCACACTTGTAACGCGCTAATAGCTGAATGTAAAATATAGCATGTTCAGTGGCATAGTGGCGCGAACGTTGAATCTTCCTAGCCACATACTGCCACAGTAACTACACAATTAATGAACAAGTAAAAGCAGCAAAAAATGTTCCTAGGAAAATGCGAAAGAAGCCGAAAATATTATCAATACAGTAAGAAAAATAAGTTTTGTCAAATGATAGTTTTAAAAAGAATTCTCTAAAGTTATGAACAAAACAGTATTAAAATAGAAAGAAAAGTTAGAAAAACATCTATCTCTAAAATAGATATCAAATTACTTGTAACACTTTGGCAAATTTATCGGAAGTATTACAATAGTATAAAACAGCAGAGAAAAACGTTATTATTCTGTGGCAACTTGAATTAAACAAAAACTATTACATAAAGAAATCGTTCAATTTTGCCCTAATTGTAGGCCAGGCGTTAAGGGTAGGCAACATAGCGGCTGCCTAGGGCGCCAAGTTCCTGAGGGCTTCGGTGATTGTGTGAGCATAGCCTTAATTTGTGTTTAGGACGTTAGTTAAGGTATCGCCGGTCCTGCCTAATCGCAAGATCAAAGTTCTAGTAAAATGTTTTTCAGAACTGATAGAAAAATACTTGTAGATTTTATGCTTGTACCTTAAGAGCTGTTAATGCAACTAAACTATAAAATATACATAATCAGGAAAGCCATTAAGGTCGCGTTTATTTTAATCTCGGTAAAACATATTCTGAGAGTTATGACATGTGGACTAAAATGGTTCAAAACTTAGCTATATACCATCTATATTTTTAAAATAAAGTGCGCTTCATTAAAAAAAAAGTTTAATACAATTCTACAAATTGCTTTTATTTTTAAAGACCCGGATGTATCTTGGAGACATTTATGCATTTAAAGAATACAGCTCAGCTAGATTCGTTTTCAGGATAATCGCCTTAGGCTTGAATAAACTCCATTCGGTCTTTTTAGCAAATGGCCTAATTCGTGGTATCATGAAGCGAAAAAAAAAAGTTACTCATTAATCAAATTTACAGTTTAATATTGTGAAATTTGTTCAATGTTTCGAAAAACCATGCAGGCTGATAATTTTCGAGGCTACGTGACGTTTGAAAGATACACCGGTTTATTGTACGCACACTAGACCGCAACACGATTTACTCGGCTAGCACCTACGGTTGTGATACCGAACTTCCTGCAAACTTTTGGAGCGCTGCGTTGTAGTCGTTATAGTTGCACAAGGAAACTAAAATATATAATGATTAAGGTGTATTTCTTTGTTTGTTTTGTAATTAAGCACAAAGCTACACAATGGGCTATCTGTGCTCTGCCCATCACGGGTATCGAAACCCGGTTTCTAGTGTTGTAAATCCGCAGACGTGCCGCTGTGCCACTGGGTGCAATTAAAGTGTACTGAATCATCGCTTGGGTACCCTCGCTATTAACTATACTTTCGGCCGTAATAAAGAAATTACATGCTATTTGGATTAGGAACCAGCCTTTGTTTAAGGCTAATTCAAATGTAACAAAAAAGTAGATATCAGTTAGGTATTTGAGTTTATTGCTATTTCTTGACTGTTTGTGCGAACAAGGACAAAATGCGTCTTGAATGCTGTATGTTGCCCACACCTAAATACACCAGATTTATCCGTACTTTCTCGTCTGAATGACACTTTATTCGGCACGTGGGATAAACAACCAGGTTAGAGACCTTCAAGGCTCATAAATAGCCATCCATAATCTAGAAGTACTGGCCTGAGGAAGAACAACCAGTTGGCAACATTCGACACCTATACGGCTTATCTTATCCGAATAGTAGAATTGATGTTACTTTTATAACGGCTCACAGCTGAAAGTGCGGAACGTGTGCAACGGACTTGAACCTTAGACGTTTTGATACGCAGTCCGGTAACAGTAGCTACTAGGCCTATATCGATTAAGAATTGAACTATACTGAAACCCTAGAGAAATGTTAAAAAGTTATATTAATCAACTACAGAGCCTGTATCGGTTCTTCAGTAACATATCAAGTTCCCACCATCAAAACTGCGAGCTGCTATAGGGCAACAAACGAATTCAATAAAACGATGCATTTCTTCTCCTTAAAAACAGTTATTAATGAACACAAATGTGTAAAAAATCATTAAAAAATGACGTTCACATTAAAATGTCGGAATATTTGATACACCTTCGCTACCTGCAACATATCTTAACAATAAAACTTCCCTAAGAACGAATCTGAAATCAGTTGATGATCTGTATTTTCCTCATTGTCCTTTTGGCTTTCCTTCAAGTCACGTTAGTCATCAAAATGCAATGAATATTATCTAAGGCATTTCATTTATAATTTTTTCTTAATTTCATTGTTCTAACGGTAACAAACGAGATCCAAGCCGGATGGAAAACAATACTTGTTTCACACCAATTGTTTATTATTTGTATTTTTATAAATACAGGTATGCACTCATGATCGTTGCAGCTATCTTATTGGTGGCCTTAATAACGGGTAGAGACCACTTTCAATCCGTTGGTAACGAAACGTGACTTGAATGTTTTATGTTACCCACACATAACTACACTAGATTTGGTTTTCTTGTATAAACAGAAAACGGTGTACACAATCTTAGCATTCCATAATGATGTCCTGAAAATCCTTATTTTTCTCTCATGACATTTTGTGTTACTCATTATATTTTTTTCCATCAATGTCACTATATTGTTAAAATAAAGCTCTAACTGAAAAGTTTACAATTCATAATATTGTATCAGTAAAATCATAAAAATACAAACAGCAATTTTAACTATTTCGTTTCTTTTTTTTAACTTTTAGATTTTATCATGACATAGCTACGATTTTTTCCTCATTTTTGTTACTTTTGTTAAAAGTCCACGGTGGCTCAACGGTAATCTCGAGGGCTTAAACCCCACAATTCGGAGTACAGATAGTGTTCATTGAGTAGCTTAGTGCTTAAGAAAAACAAACTTTTATTAAAGTACAAACATACGCACATAATAGTTACACGTATCAAAGTCGAACATTAATATTTATGGTTAATGTGCACAAACGAAAGACGAAATTACACTGTGCAAACTGTTACACAAATTACAACCATTCTACAGATAAACAAAACAACAACAAAAAAGATGCGAATCCAACCTGAGTCTGTGGCGAGCAGTTTGGGTCAGGCCTGTAACACATGCAGCGACAGCCATGCTGAAAATAATCAGCCCAAATGTCACATGGGTTGGCAGGAGTTGGTCCCGAAACTTGGTTGTTGCGGCGTCGCAGCACAACAAGATCAAGAAAACGATGAACCCAAAGATGAACTAGAATATTAATTGAACAAATCAGGTTTTTGTACCAAAATCAAAATTGATAAATATTTAATAGTATGAATGTTGTGTTGCTGCTTATAATATATAATACTGTTTTCGAAATAGAAGACAGAAAATAAGAAACCCTATGACCTGAACACTTTTGAAAAGTCTGTCCTTTGAAAGTTCTCGTGTTATATTGCTCTTTACGAAGAAAGGTCCATCTTTCGAAAATTTTTAGATTATAGGAGTTTTTATTTTTGTTTTTTAAATGACATTTTAAAACCTACAAGTTTTTTTATCATCATGAATGAATACTATTTTAGAAGACATGCGATCAACCTGTCCAAGCATACGAGCAGATTTTTCTTTTCAAAAGGCTATTGCGCTGTTTTCGGTCAGAGAATTGTTGTATTCATTAAGGAAGCACTGACTGTAAAAGACCGCCCGCAATATTTTAAAAATAACATTTGTCAAATTTAGCCTAAATCGTAAGCTTTACCTCTTTTCAACATAAATTAACTCATTTCTGTTTTAACGGCTATTTTATCAAATGCAGTTTTCACTGGGGTCACCAATTTATTAGCATGATAACTTCACCATTAAAGCCAATATCAGCATGAAACTTATCACACTTGTTGATATTACACTCTTTCCATAGCTTGAAGTTTTTAAAATTCAAAAGTCTTTACCAGTTGTCTTGTTATGACTCTAATTACCACTAACGAAGGCATTAATTAAAATTAATTATCAACAGCTCATTAACGTTGCAGAAAATCTGCCAAATTTTTAATTCAATGTTTGAAGATGTTCACAAAGAGTGTTAAAACAGTTTATGTTAAGTATTTCTTTATCCCTGTCATGTGAATTATGCGTATGACATACGTAACTGAAAGTGTACTTTCAGAGATTGCAACATTATACGTTTGTTTTGTACTCAACTTCAAGGTTATAAGAAGTGTTTAACAGTGTTTCCTCAGCATGTAAATTTGCCCAGTTTTAAGGGTCAGTGCTACCTCAAGCACTTTTTTTTACCAATCTACCCGATGAACTGCTTGTTGGCTGTCAGTCAGTACTTTTTTTTACTAATTATTTTTCATAATGAAACTTTGGCCCGGTATGGCCATGTGGTTACGGCACTCGACTCGCAATCTGAAGGTCGCGGGTTCGAATCCCCGTCACACCAAACATGCTCGTCCTTTCAGCCGTGGGGGCGTTATAATGTGACGGTCAATCCCACTATTCGTTGGTAAAAGAGTAGCCCAAGAGTTGGCGGTGGGTGATGTTGACTAGCTGCCTTCGCTCTAGTCTTACACTGCTAAATTAGGGACGGCTAGCGCAGATAGCCCTCGTGTAGCTTTGCGCGAAATTCAAAAACAAATAATGAAACTTTACGGTATTTCAGCTGAGCAAGCCTGGCGGCGAGCTGTGTCTGCTGGTTGCTTACAATAAATAGATGGTGTCACATCTGACATAAGTACATGTTAGTTGAAAACATATGCATAAATACATTAAAAAGGCTTCGATACGTTATGGGAGTTGGGTGAGAGACTGGTTTCTTCATAACACAGCTATTAGAACGATTGCATATCATTTGAAACTACTATATCCCTCGCATTAGTATCGTGAATCATCGTGCAAGCCATACCTTCTCATTATCAAAAGAATTGTTCAAGCTTTATCTTAAGTAGCTTCCTCTTCCCTTCACCAGATGCATCGCATACCTTGAGTAGTTTCCAGATCAAGTTATACCTTACATGATAGAACCCAACTCAAATGTTCTGGCATTCCTCCATACACATATTTATACATCTTACTCAAAATGATCAATTGATGTTCTCTTCTTACATCGTGTTGGTAATTATGAAGAAAGTCACTGATTATCCTCCGCTTGATGTAATTTGTGATGTGCTTGACCTAGAGACAGTTTTGCTCTCTACCAGCAGCTTCATAAATATTATTACTGAAAAACCTGACAGTGGAAATATGTTCATACTATTACTGAAAAACCTGACAGAGGAAATATGTTCATACTATTACTGAAAAACCTGACAGAGGAAATATGTTCATACTATTACTGAAAAACCTGACAGAGGAAATATGTTCATACTATTACTGAAAAACCTGACAGAGGAAATATGTTCATACTATTACTAAGATACTGAAGTATGTGAAACAAAGTTTTCTATACGTAACTAGCAACTTTTCATGTGAAATTACAATATGTTTAGTAAAAAATTAAAACTGGAAAAATACTCACCTGAAGGGCAAACAGGCCCATAGTGCCTAGTCCAATCCAGGAATGGATGCTGTAAAAATGTTTGGAGTCTGGACTATTATTGTGGGCTTGGATGGCCGACACTAACCCGATTGTGATGGCTGAGATGGCCAATACGTAGAAGATGGTATGTAACACCTTGTTATAGATTATTTTACAGCAGGGAAAGTTCCTGAACACTAAAATGGCTGCAGGGAAAAATGAAGACATCTGCTTAAACTACTACAGAATAAGTTTGAGTTACACATTTCACAAGGCCTAAGTAATAAGAAACGGTGAAGTCTTACTTGGACAAATGATAAAATGGTTTTGTTTTTGGCATTGAAAAATGAAACAGTCAAGAAAAAGTAATAAATCTAATACTAATTTTTAGTGGTACCTTAATGTTTGTCTCTCAGTAGCATACATTATAAGGACAGACCCCAAAAAGTTTTCTTATTTGATACAAAAGTTCTGATAAAAAATAACTGATCTGGATAGTTACGACCTAATTATACATTACTTATTAGGAAGTATTTGTAACAAACGTATTGGTAAAAATATCATATATTTGATATGATCCTTCTACTAATGTTATTTTAAAATCTTTCTTTACTTGTTACTCATTTCCTCAAGAGTTTGAACTAGAGAAATTACATTATGCTGTGTACATATTCTGAGTATTATGTATCATACTATTATGTTGAACCAAATTTCGCCACATTATATTGGACTCGGCCTAACAATGACTTCACAAAGTGCTGGAAAGTATTTCTTCGACTTTATACCATTTATCAAAGAATATATACGTCCACTAGTTTACAGATCCTGGCAGAGGATCAAAATGACTAATACAAAATTCATCTCATACAAGTTTAGTCGAATTGAGACCAAGTGATCGTGTTGGCCAAGAAAAATAACTGGCATGCTCTTAGAACCACGAGCTTAGTGGATTGTTGTATTCTTGGAAGAACCCTTGCTCAAAGTTGAAATGCAGCACTGTGGGTAACTGTGATCAACAACAATGTTCAAAAATACTCTGGGTGGGATTTACCCTCCAAAACGACTCAAAGGGCCCAAGTTCTTCTATAAGAACATTTTCCCCACCATTAAAACGACAAATACCATATAACCCGAGCACTTTCGAAAGGTGGACCATTCTTCTTCAGGGATAAATTGGGTAAAATGTTTTTACACCACACGCTTCGAGTCATTCAATTTTGATAATTATGCTGAAACTTTTGTTTGCACCTTAATTTAGCAGTTTTTGGAATGTCTGTTGAATGCCATGTGATAGTTTTTGTAATGCCATTCTTACGATAGTTTGGAAATAGTCAATACCAGACTATTGTTGAAGAAATAAGACAATTGAGACATCTGACGTCTTTTTTATTTTATGATAGTATTTCCCTTGGTCAATCACCAGCAGTTCGCGACCCAACATTTACTAGTGGCAGACACACTCCCTTTCCATTGCTACTGTTTATGGACTATAATGACAAATGTTGTTGAAAAGTTGATAAAGCAACAGTCTTCGCGCAACGACACTTTTGTTATTTCAGACTCCATTTATTATGCACCTTTAAAAGTCGAAGAGAATCTTGTTCTTAACTATTACTTTGTATATTAACCATATCATGAACAACCTCTGCATTTATAGAGCTCTAGCAGTTACATGAAACACGCAATCACTCTTTACAATTGTATATGCAGTTAAACAGTATTCTGCAAATACATGTTTATGGTTCTAGTAAAACGACCAGTCAGTGTTAATTATGAAATATAATATATTGTGCTTAAAGCAATGCCACGAATAACCCGTAACCTAATATGACACGTATTGTAGAAGAGTAACCTGCAGAGGAGATTAAAAGGGCAGGGGCTCATTGACAGATAAAAAAAAGACACCTTTTAGTACACAAGAATTCTCTCTTTTAGTTTTAGATTTCAACAGTGTTTATAAGACCGATTGAATAGAAATAAAAGAGAATCCGTTTGCTTCAAATGGATTTCTACCCTATGTGTACCAGACGCTACCCACAGTCCCCATAATCTTCCCCCTGTCCAAAAAAAAAAGTCTCGCCTTACACTTAATTGCGTATCATAATTACGTTTTACTGTAAAAACGTACAAGTCCCTGTGTGCAATTCATTTTAAAACTGAGGGCATAAGAGGTGAAAAACAGGGGCTTGAGCCCATCCAGTCCCATGTACGTCTCTGCTGTAGAAATTTAATATGAAAAAATGAGCCACTGGTTTGAAAGTTGGCTATAAATAAGAAATCTTCAAATGTTTTAGAAACATCAATTTAAACTGCACTTATGGTCTTTTAGGAGGTAAAGTAATTTGAAAGAGTTTGTTATATTTCTTCTCATTTCGGCACTTGTTCAAAATTACACTTCTCAAGCAATAGTAGTTTATTGTAAAACCAACCCTGTTTTTCTGAGACAATGTATACCTACCTGTACGACCTTCCATGCATAACTAACACGACTGCCATTCGGTGTTTTCAAAACATTGCACGAGGAAACTCGAACTAGTCATGATCATTTAAACAACTGGAGGACTTCCTGGCACCAACGCAATAGACTTAAGGCTACAAGACTGGTGAGCGTCAACCTTCAATAAACTGGCTTGCAGAGTTTCGATTTAGCTTTAATTACTTCGTGTTACTGAGTGATATTTACTCATTTATTTATTTTCCTTCCTTAGTCCGTAAACCGGTTCTTCGAACATACACCTCCTAGACGTACTGTACTACCATAAGGAATGTTTCATAAAAAAAAAACAATAATATACGATCTTTAAGCAAAGCCCAGAGAATATTATCAAGATGAGAAGTACTGAAGTCAAAAACAGACAGCAACGTTACACTTTCAAACTTTTGGTTTAATATCGTCCTAAAAATGTTTATGCTAAACATTGGGTTAACAGTAACTTTTTGCACGTACTTCTGACGCAATGACAGTCGTTAATAAATTACACTGTATAAATGTTTCAGTGAGTATAAGTATCAAAGCAAGTTAAAAATACAGTAAATGTAAATTATGATTTAAGATCTGTATACTAACACCCCCATGAAATATAAATCTAGACAGAATTATACAATCAAGTTTCACTGAAAAATTAAAATTAATAGCAAGTAAACACAAGATACGACAAACTCAGCCTGACAAGAAAACCTGTAGCATGTTATGGAATCCATCCAAAATGTCGGGTGCAATATACTTTAGTGCTTTAAACCCACATTCGGCTATTTCCAAAATTAAGGTTTGTTATTGAAACAAAATGTCATGCAAGTTTACAATTTTTACAGTTGACAGCTGATATGAACCCAACGTCCTAATAGTTACATTAAAGCGAATAAGCATTAATTAATAATAGTTTCTTTAGTTTTGTTTTTTAATTTCAGTTATTCCGAAACTTAAAAATCGCCACAACTGTCTTTTTGTGAGATTTTAGGCCTTTATTTACACATTCAAATAAAAACAATTCCAGCGTTGTAAGGTAGCCACAGAAGCATTTGTCAGGGTTTTGAATATGGGTTGGGATTTTTTTTTACAGCAAGTGTCTGTGAATTGCTGGCGATAAATTCGAACAATAAATGGATAGCGCACAATCCACTTGTTTTAAAATAATATATTAAAAAAGTCAAATATATGTACAAAAATTCTTTACACTATAGGATATCACACTTGTATCTAAAACTCTATTTTTTTTTCTGTTATCACAATATAATTAGTGATAAGTTCACTTACGTTACCCCCGTGGGTTACCATAGTTGTATACAGAGCTTTAAATAATTCTCTTTTACGCTAAAAGTCCACACAGGCTAGTTCAGTTACCGTAGAACCCAATTGACAAGACGAATTATTTTTCTCTACTCTGTTTCTTACTGCACAATCTGGGTTACCACAGTTGCATCCAAAACTTTAAATAACTGTCTCCTTTTCGTCAAAGTCCACAAAGGCGGGTTCAATTACTTTAGAATACCCCTTGACAAGAGAAAATATTCTCCTTGTCTGTGTTAAACTGTGAAACTCAATTTAAAATATCGCCGGCTAAACTAACAATCACGCAGTCTAACTTTACTTTCACTAATATAACGTTTTCTGACTGAGCTTCATTAACTTCTGCTCACTTGATTGCCTATATATACAATGCCTAACTGAGGCCTAGAACTTTTTGTAAATTACGAGACCCTATGATGTAACAAACGAGAAAAATACGGAAGATTCGAGTAACGTGACGTCAATTTACAATAATTGAACTACACTGACTCTTACCAAGTTACCCAACAAAATTTGTCATAACTATCATCTTTAAAATAATGACTTTTAACACTCTTGTTATGAAACTAAATAACAATTAAATATAAAATCACCAAATGAACTAAATAACAATTCTTACACTAAACAGTCTTGTATATCCAACAATAAGCCCCTCTTCAAGTAAAATAATTACGATATTTTTATACTATACACAAAAACTGTTTTCAGTTTATACATTAAGCCTCTTCATATACTCTGCACCAACATCTACAGTTCCTTTGTCGGTCTCTCCTCACGTAGGGCCTTTGGTAGGGCTTCACCTTCACAGGATCCCCTTGTCTGCATCTTGATCTTGTGTTGCCTGATCTATCTGTATATTGACACAGTAGATCTTGTACCTCTTTCTTCTGCTTGCCAGTCAGTTCTTCACTTATGTTGACGTCCTTCTACGTCTCATCTCCATACAATGATCTTCAACCATGTAGGCTTTCATCTTTTATGACAGAGTCACTCTCTTCTGGTTCTTCATCAATGACAGCCACACCTGCACCCATTATGTTTCTTCCCTCTCTTCAACAGATTGGCATAGTAGATCTTTGCTTCCTGTCCACTTTCACATCATAGTTCTTTTTTTACCACTTCTTGTACTGTGAAAGGTCCTTTCCACTGCCAGGTGAGCTTGTTGTTGGCTGTGGGCAGCAGAACTAAGACCTTCTGTCTAACCTTGAAATTTTGTTCCTTGTGACCTTCTTGTCATATAAGTACTTCTTACCGCCTTTGATGTGTTTAGCTTCACCAGTAGAACTGCTTTTATAGGTTTGGTTCAATACTCTTTCCTGGTCCCCTGTTTTGTAAGTCTCTTTCACCTTTGTCTTGTGCTTGACTTTCTCTTGGGCACTGTTCCAAAGTGTCTCCAATGACGGGTTTTTCTTCTGCGCTCCCTTCAGCTCCCGTAAACTTACATTTTGGATGTCATTTTTTTAGGCTTGAAGAGGCTTGATATTTTGCTTGCTCTTCTTCCATTGAGCTCTTGTGGTAACTGCAGATGCCTCATCAGCTTTTTTTCTGCCCAATTCCTCCAAATTTCTACTACCTGGTGTGTTTCCAATCACGAAGTCGTAAATTGGTGCCTTGATACACATGACTTCAAAGTCTGCTACTTAGTATGGAGTCTCCACCTATTTTTTTCTACGGGAAACTTTCTCACTGTCCCATCAGTTAGTACACTCAGGCGTACCTTGCCTGTCATCTGGTCATCAAACTGGTTCTCACTAAGGCACTACTGTACCTAATGTCTCGTAGGACCTTCACTTTATTGTACCCAACATAGCCTTCGTCCATTGGCATGTTGTTATTTGTTGACATCTCTCAATATTTGTAACATGCTCCAATCACTACTGGCACTGTTGATCTGCTTATTAACTTGAGCCGACCATTAGTCATGTACTGATGAATCATGGAAACAGCACTTCCTTCTTGTGGTGAATCTGACGTGTTTTTTTATTCTGTTTCTTCTGGCAGGAGCATCTGAAGTGACAGTCACTCTTTTCCTGTTTCTTACCAGCACCATCTTTGTAAGTAGCTCCACCCGCTTTATGTTGAGATTTTTGCTGTTACTTGTTGGTGATGGACTTGCACTCCTTTGCAATGTGCCCTATTTTATAACAAATATATCATCTATTCTCCCATTTGTCTATTAAACTCCTGTCACTTTTGGTGGACTCCTGCTTCTGGTCAGCCATCACTGGTTTCGACTTTAACTGGTTATTCTTAGACTTGCCAGTTATATTCCCTCCATGGGCTTCCTTATACTGTTCTGCCATCTTGATCATCTCGACCACATCTTTTGGGGCTGTCGCCTTATGAATAGTGACATGTCAGTCGAGCACGTGATCACGAACTGTTCACGTATTAGTAGATCTGCCAGTCCCTCAAAATTATTTCACACTTGGCCTTGTCAGTCCATCTTGTGAAGTATTACCATAGACGTGCCACAAACTGGAATACAGTTTATCCAATGTCAGGTTTGACTTCTCTGAATTCTGACAAAACCTTCTTCGGTAAATTCCTAGCATTTCAGCAAAGCCACTTTTAACTTGTAATAGTCCATGGCATCTTCTGTAGGCCTTTTCCTGTGAGAAGTGGACTGAGACAGATTTCCAGTTTTGACTTTGGGTGAATCTTTCACATCTCTCCAGAAAATCATCCATATCATCTTTCTGTTCATCAAATTTGGGCAGCTTGGGTCAGCTGGCCCTGACCCCATTGTCATTCTTGGGTTATCCGTATTTCTGTTGGGCGAGCTTGGCAATCTCAATTTGTGCTCTATTTCCAGTCTCTCCTCTAAATATCGTCTCAATTAGCATAAAGGTTATTTACGTAACAATAATATGCTAATTTCTCCTCTTGCTGCACAAATTGTCGAAACAGGTTGCTCAATACAATGGCATGAAATTGAAACAATTTTAAATGAACCTAAATTGAATAGTAGAGAATCCATAGAAATTTTATGCTGTAAACTAAATAATTCTTTGTTAAATAGCGATGAAGGATTAGCTGGTGATAATACACAGTTTTGGAAAGAAATATTTAACTTCTTATGTATAATATACACAGCATGGTCACAAGTAAACGGACACCACCTTTTCAGAAAAAATGAAAATTTTCAGTCATATTCACATGAATTGATATATTTATAAAAATTAGTTAATATCTAGTAGATC